CCCGTGCTTAGTATCCAAGGATAAGTATCCCTTACTGCAGGAATGAGGCCTGGTACAGTGAAAATCCTGTTCCTGGTCTTCATTTTTTATAGGCATGGGTGTTGAGAAACTTTGTTCTCATATAAGTATATAGAAAAGAACAAAAGGAGCTTTGTCTTAATGACATCACTCAAGTCTCTGAATTAAATTTGTGTTCTATGCCAAAAATCAGAGTGATCTGTCATCAGAAATTATTCTTGAATGGTCTATCAGCTGACAACTTGATTAGGCCTTCCTTTGGTTTTGTTGAAAACCAAGAATTGGAAACTGACTTGGAAGAGGATGTATTAGGCAATCATTAGAAGCTTTTGCCTCGTGACATGGCCATCAGTATTCTGAGTAGTTGTTTTTCTTGTTGAGCATTTTTGAAGTCTGGGATAGTACCCTGAACCAAGATTCAGGATGTGAGAGGGAGTCTAGCTTTTGTGATATGCGGAAGAGCAACTGTGGAGTGGGTGGAATAGCAGAAGTGCCACAGAGCAACAAAGGAGAACTTGCGAGAACGTCCCTCCACCAAGGTGCCCGTCAGGCAGATCCAGCATAGGTGAGAACAAAGAAATGGCCCTTGAAGGTTTGGAAATTAATTCTCTTAAAATCCTCAGTGCCTGCTCGCCTTTTGGGTGGCACATAATCCTACTGTGGAGCCTGCTTGTCTAAGGAAAAGCAAAACAGAGGTAAAGCTTAGGTGCTTGTAAACCCACCGATACTGAGGCAGGCTCCAGGGCCTTCTGGGGCCATGAGTGTGTGGACAGAGGCAGAACCCTTGGCTCTCTGGGGACTGACTGTCTCTCTGAATGAAATGATCTTATTCCTGCCTGTGACAGCTGGTGGCAAAAAATCACTCTGGTTAGCAACTGGGGTAGAGTTAAGCATAGCATGGTTTTAGAGCAAAAGGGAACTCTGGTCAAAGCAGACAGCCCCAAGGCATGGCTCTTGGGACAGGGTTCATCTTGATAAACAGCAAAATCCATTGCTCCTGTGATTTTTGAATTTTGACTCATGACTGGATCTAGGTTTTATAAAGACCACTCTGGGCTAAATGTTTCTCACCTGTTTTAGTTCTCCAGTCCCTAGACCCACTGGCTTCACCAGTTCTGCACTCTCTTGGCCCCATTGGTGCCTCACACACACTTCCTTCACTCAGTCACACTCAGTTCTCATTATGTTTTGTTGTGCAGCTGCTGCTTCTGTCAGACTTGGAGGTTCAGTGGGGTTGGATTGGCCCAGGGTCATTTGACTGATAAAAGAGAGAGTCCTTCTCCAGACTTTATGAAAGAAAAGCAAATCCTTAGATGAACTCAATTTTGGGAGGCCAAGTTCATGGCTTTTCTTTGTCCTGAAACATGTCCCATGTATCTGAGTACATAATAGTTGTTTAAGTGTACTCTAGAATCTAAGTGAGACTCGGACCACTTCAGCTTGTCATCACATGGCTTGTTGTTATGTATTTATATGTGTTGATTGTAGCCACGTGGACGTGATTTAATCCTTGGCAAGTGCAGATTGGTGTGCAGTTCATGGACTGTCCTGGTCATTATTTTCTCAGGGAAACTGTAAACCCAAGGAGAGAGATGGTACCTCCTCTGTGGGCCTATGGTATCTGGCATAGCAGAATGCCAGTGGACAAGCAAATGACAAAAATACCTGTCATTTACCCAGAAACAAGCCTTTACCAAGCACTGTCTTGCATATGGTGATCGTCCCAATAGCCTGTGTGGTGGATGGCACCTGAGCCTTTATACAGACTCCATGGTAGGAATTGATGAGGGGGGAATGGGTTTTGCAACCACACAGATTCCAGTTTGTTTGCTTGGTCATTTAGACTCATCATCTGCCCTAGGGAGGTCACACCACTTGTGTTTGCTTCTGCCTTTGTTTCGTTGAGGTCAACCATTAAAGGAGGAAAGGAGATGGTAAAGGAAGGCAGGAAGGAAGAAGGGAAAAAAAGAAAAAGAAAATGATGCCATTGATGGATTGCATGAAACTGGAAACAGATTTAAGCACTTTTCGTAGGTTCTGTAGGTTTGAAATATTTAAATTAGATCCAGTTCCTGTCTTCAGAAAGCATCCAGTGAGGTGTTAGCAACTGATTGTAGGTAACAATGGGCTGTCTCTGATGGGGGTACACACTGTCAGGCTGAGTAACCCTAGGAGATAAGGAAACAGTGAGATGTGTTGTCCAATGCTAGGGTGATGAGGGAGTCTCACAACCACTGACCATCACTGGGCTCCCTGTAGATGGGATGACAGCACTAACAGGAGTTTGTTGCAGGTCAGCCTGCTACTCAGTCTTTCTGTATTGTTCTTTGATGGAGTTACACATGTGGGTTTGGGTGGCTAATAGTTGGTTCTAGGGACTTTAGAAGACAGTATTAAGATGATAAAATAATTTCAATATTCTAGAACCAGGCTGAAACAGTGAAGTTTTTGTATTTGTATCAAAAAGAATCCTAAAGGGTCATCATTTTTAAAAATGGGAGGATGAGTCTTACGCCATCCTTTTTGTTGAAGACTTGCAGGGTTGACTTGACAACAAGCTCACTGCATGAGAATTTTGTGAGTTGGTGATAATGATTTAGGGCTGCATGACTAGAATCAGGGGAGGTTACAGCTCTATCATTTTCTCTGCCGGAATATGTCCAAAGAGTGACTGCAATGTCAGAATACCAACCAGTGTTCTTTGAAGCCTAGCTATATGATGATTTTAAATAATTAAAGGACTGCCATGGAAAAGAGTTTAACATTTTTTTGTTAGATTTGATCCAAGCCTCTTAGACTTTGTGCTGGAACACTTCCTGCACTTCCTGATCTTCACAGGGCTAACCCATCTCAACCTTCAACTCTTGGCTCAGAAACTGCTTATTAATAATTTCAATATTAATAATCCTATGGATTCTTGACACTTATTCAGAGAAGCATTCTGAATATTGGCTCAAATAGACCAGACAACATGGTAAGTTTTTAAGGGTTTTATTCAGTGAGAGAAATGCACAGGAAGGTGAGGGTTTTGATTAGGGGAGAAAGAAGTCTAGAAGCTAAGTTGGGTCCATACCAGGCAGAGGGCAGGCCAGGAGCACGTGGAGCAAGCATGAGGGCAGGAAAGCAGAGGCAGGGCAGAGGCCACAGGCCTCACACCTGGAGGCACAGAGCAACAAGGGAAGGGCCCACTGTATTCCAGGCCTTCTATTTATCCCCAAAGAGGGAGTGGCTACGTAGTCTGATTGGCAGGTGGGCATACAGGTGGGGTCAGGTAGAGGCATGAGATCACACAGGCACCGTGGTCTCCCAGCTCACAAACCTAATCGATTTTATCCCATCTGCCTGCATCCAAACTATCTTATCTGGAAAGCCTTCTGACTCCCGCGTCTGACCTTAGCCTTTCGGCTTGCCTGTGTGTTCCCAGAGCTCCCTCCTGCTTGTACTTGCCTTTTGTGTAGCAGGGGTGGGTCTGTGGCCTGCTCTGTTGGTTCCCCAGGGTTGGTGCCCCCTCAGCCCTCTGTCTGCTTCATTTCAGCTGGACAGCATCCAGTTTCAGACTCCTTCACTGCACTGACGTCCGCTTGTTGACTATTTCACCCACTGTGCTTTTTTCTTCTCTCTTTGTAATTTTTGTCTATTTTATTTACATTACTGTCATTTTGTTGGGGTTTTCAGAGGGAAGAAGGGATTGTTAACACATGGATTCAATAAGCTGTGTTTAGAATGAGACTTTTATTGGATACAATTTAGAATGCCCTAGCTTCAAAACCCCTGTGCTCTCTAATGCTGTTCGATTCTAGGGAGCCTGTAGAAATTTATCCTGCATGTTCTTGAAGAGGTGTGCACAGAACAAAGGACACTGACTTTAGCATTGGCTGTAATTGTGGAAAACTGGAGATAATTTATATAAGGAGATGAATAAACTTTAATAAAATGTACAAAACTATGCAGCGGTCAAAAAATGCTGTTAGGCTAAATACAATGACTGGGAAATTTCGTCAGGAATATTCCTAAATTTACTGATCCCTTTGTGATATATTTATTTTTTACTTGACAGAGTTAGACGGTGAGAGACAGAGAGACAGAAAGACCTTCTTTCCATTGGTTCACCCCCCAAATGGCCGCCATGGCCAAAACTGTGCTGATCTGAAGCCAGGAGCCAGGTGCTTCCTCCTGGTCTCCCATGCGGGGGCAGGGCCCAAGCACTTGGGCCATCCTCCACTGCCCTCCAGGGCCACAGCAGAGAGCTGGCCTGGAAGAGGAGCAACTGGGCTTAGAACCGGTTCTAGTCCCGGCTGCTCTACCTCCAATTCAACTCTCTGCTATGGCCTGGGAAAGCAGTGGAAGATGGCCCAAGTCCTTGGGCCCCTGCACCCACGTGGGAGACCCAGAGGAAGCTCTTGGCTCCTGGATTTGGTGTGACCCACTCCTGGGCCATTGAGCGATTTGGAAAGTAAACCGCTGGTTAAAGATCTCTCTCTCTCCCTCTCTCCCTCTCTCCCTCTCTCCCTCTCTCCCTCTCTCCCTCTCTCCCTCTCCTGCTCTTCGTAACTCTCACTTTCAAATGAATAAATCTTTAAAAAAATAGTTCTGGGAATTGTGCAAATAAATTACAGAGTTTTTTGGTTTTTGGTTGTTTTTGCTGTTGGTGGAATGGATGAAAAGAGGCTTTCAACAGATGTGACTGTTAAATGTCACCGAAGCCCCGTGGCTCACTCACATACTCACCGGTGCTAAATAATTATAGGTTTTCTGCCTTTTACTCTTCATCGGGAAATAATTTTCAAGTTCAAGTTGAAAGAATAGTAAATATCCTTTACCCTTTAGCGACTTGCCGCTTGTCAGTAATCGTATTGGGAGTTGTCACACGGGAGAGCAGTATTTGTGGCCATCACTGCTTTGGGCTGGTGACAGGGGCAAGCTGGTCATTTTTGGTTTCTGCCTTTGGAGCTGCCATCTATAAATGCTTCCTTCTTCCCCAGAAAACCCTGAGCGAGCCGCCCTGTACTTCGTCTCTGGCGTGTGCATCGGACTGGTCCTGACCCTGGCCGCCCTGGTGATGAGGATCTCCTGCCATACAGACTGCCAGCGGCGTCCCCAGAGGAAGTTCCTGCAGGACCGAGAGAGCAGCAGCGACAGCAGTGACAGCGAGGACGGCAGCGAGGACACGGCGTCTGACCTCTCGGTGCGGAGACACCGCCGCTTCGAGCGGACGTTGAACAAGAACGTGTTCACCTCTGCGGAGGAGCTGGAGCGCGCGCAGCGGCTGGAGGAGCGCGAGCGCATCATCCGCGAGATCTGGATGAACGGGCAGCCCGAGGCGCCCGGCGCCCGCAGCCTCAACCGCTACTACTAGGGCTGCGGGGCTGCGGGGCTGCGGGGCAGCGGGGCTGGACGCCCACCGGTGGCCCAGAGACGCCGGAGCACACCGGCCTCTCAGCAGAGAGGGCAGATTCTCTTCCTCTGTGAACACACACACACACACACACACACACACACACACACACGTGGGTTCCTCAACCTTTCCAGGTGTTGGAATGGTGCTGAAAATCCCTCCCTACCAATGCGAATGGAGATCTGGGCTGTCTTCATCGCTGTGTGTCATTCCTTTTCGAAAGGCAAGACAGCCGTGACTTGAGGGCTGGGACCAGCAGGGCGAACGTGACCCGGTACATGCAGTTTGCTAAGCGACTCCGGGCGTGGAGGCACTTCTGACTCAGAGAGCATGCTCCGTGCTTATTATTTAAGGCTGATTTTGCAAATCTTGTGTTGCAATGGCAACCTCAGCATTTTAACTGGCACCTCAGGGATCAAAATCCTATTTTTTTTAGTATAGTTCCCGCCTCATTCATGAAAATGAATAGAATTATTATATTACGGGAGATGTGTCAGTGAACCAGAAAATGTTGATAACCTCAAAGGATGAAGGGTTTTTATTTTAAATAGTTTATAAAAATATATATTGACATGCAGATTTGAAAATGCTGCGTAAGAAAGTGTCTGTCTTCCCCTCCCCCTCCACTTTGGAGAGAAGAAAATTTTAGTATGACTTCATGCTTCAGACAATCATGGTTTAAAATACTTTTTTTAAAAAAAGAGTTTAGATTTCCAAGAAAAGAATGGAAATGGGAGATAAGGATTAAAGAGCCAATATTAGGGTGGAATAAAAAAATGAATGTTTCATAAAAGCTTTCTTGCGTCATGTCTATCTTGATGGCTAAATGACGGCCATTTATGCAGGTGAGTGAGCGAGTTTGCCAGACCCTGCCAGGATTGGAATAGAGAAACAGCCCCCTGTGTGATGATGGGCTTTTGATGTCTGCACATTGCATGTTGTGGCGGCACTAAGGTTGAGTTAAGCAGAGGGAGAAATAGAAGAGTTCCTTTGGGCTACAAGTAAGATGGTGACCCCCATATGGGGAGAGGAAGTTGGCAGGGAAGGAAGAGAGGCAAGACTGTGCCGCATTTAGAAGTGGCCTGTGGAGGAGGAAGCAACATCCTCTAGACTGATAAACAGGAACAGGGAGATCTGTGTTTGGGCTGCCCTAGAGTAGGTTCCTTCCCCCGGGGGAGGATCTCCGCAGTCCACTGATTTTTGTGACTATGCCTAAGAGGATTGTCAGGGTCTCTACTGCTTTACTGCTCTCATTACATGCGTTGGGAGGGCTGTTTTACAAGCAGAACAATCATAATCTCTGTTTCCCCAGGGGAAAACAACAGTGTGCTTGAATGCCCCGGTGGCTGGCCTACTTTCATCATTTTAAATGGTCTTGGTTAGAAATAAGTCCCCAAATTCCTGAATTGTGATTCCCACTTTTTAAAAGTACCCATTTTCATCTTATTTGGAAAGAGAACAGATTTTTTTTAAAGATTTATTTATTTGAAAGAGTTACAGAGAGAGATAGAGACATCTGCTGGTTCACTCCCCAATTAGCCACAATGGCTGGAGCTGCGCTGATCCGAAGCCAGGAGCCAGGAGCTTCTTCTGGGTCTCCCATATGGTGCAGGGGCCCAAGGACTTGGGCCATCTTCCACTGCTTTCCCAGGCCGTAGCAGAGAGTTGAATTGGAGGTAGAGCAGCCGGGACTAGAACCGGTACCCATATTGGATGCCCACATTTCAGGCCAGGGCTATAACCTGCTACGCCACCACGCTGGCCCTGAGAACAGATTTTCTATTTGCTAATTCATTCCCTCAAATGCCCACAATAGCTGTGGCTGAGCCAGGCAGAAGGCAAGAGGCTGGGATTTAATCTGGGTCTCCCACATGGATGGCCAGAACCCAAGTACTTGAGCCATTACCTTCTGCCTCTCAGGGTGTGTGTTAGCAGGAAGCTGGAATTGGAAGCAGAGCCAGGACTTGCACTCAGGAACTCTGGTAGAGGATGTGGGTGTCTCAAGTGGCATCTTAAGTCCTACACCAGACACTGGTCCTGGAGTTCCCACTTCCGTGGATTTAGTCCTTTAGCAGTAATTGAGGGAATCAGTGAACCTTCTGGATTTTAGATTAATGTCTTGTATCTCCATCTGTGCCTCTTAGAAAAGCAGAACAATTGGGAGCTGCTTTCATGTCTAGAACTGGATGCAGAGCTGATTTTATGACCCTTATTAGGCAGAAATGAAGTAGTGGAAGAGTTTGGAAGGACTCAGGAGCACATAACGTTCTCAGTTCTCACTCCAATATCCTGATGCCTTTCTACTAAGTCCAGAATGCTTCCATTTTTAGGAAGGTGGTGGCATTACCTGAGACGCAAAATACACTAGGTAGAAGTTTAACCAGCTGCTTCACTTCTGCCGTGTAAGGATCCTAGCTTGTCAACCTGCCCTATCTCAACTCAACCAGTTCCATAGGTTAGGTCTACTAATTTACTTATGTTTCCAGTTTCCGGATTAGGATGCCTTTGTTTCCAACAGATAGATATCCAAGGTAAGAGCATTTATTGATTCACATAATGGGGAGACAGGTTTGGATCTGGGTCTGGGTTGGATAACTGGGTCCTGGAGCCCAAGAGCTACCAAAGTGTTGGTCTTTCTCGGCTCTCAGCTCTGCTTTTCTTTGCATCTGGTCTCATTTTCTTCTACTGGAGATTAAACTGTCACATGCTTGTGCCAGTGTAGGGTGTTGGAGAGCTTGCTGTTGACCAAATCCCCACACGGTCCACAGGTTGTGTGTGTGCGTGCATGTGTATGTGTGTGGCAGTTTCGCAGCTTAAGTCAGCAGCATTGATTTCACTGCACATCTCCTGTGATAGCTCATGCTTTGCAATAATTCCAAAGACCACCTATATGCTGAAGGTTTGAAATGTCTCTCCCTAGCCCACTGGTCCTCAAACAAGGGAGACAGTTGTCCCACAGGAGATATTTGGCAATGTCAGGAAGATAATCTGGTTGTCCCTGCTGGGTTGCTGGGATATTATTGATTTCTAGTGGCCAAGGATGCTGCTAAACATTCTCCAATGCTGAAACCAGCTCTCCAGCTATCTCCACAGATGCCAGCAGTAAGTAAAGAAATCTACAAGGGATTCCAGACCTTAGCCATGTGTCTCTCTCTAGTCAAACCTCAGCTGTTATAGAACAGAGAGAAATCATCTCTGCTGAGCTCCGTCCAACTTCTCAGTCTGCCAAATCCATGAGCATGATACTTGGTGGTGGTTTGTAACAATAGAAACTGCACAACTCCTCAAACTGTGCTCACCTTCTCCTGGCCCTACTCTGTTTCCTGTCCATTGATGACAAGGTGAGTTTCAGGGTTACAACCCATGCCAGAGGCTTGGGACCATTCCAGACTCCTTATTTTCCTTGAGCATTCACATACAATCAATTAGCAATTCTTCCCAATTTTCAGCCATTCATATTTCTTGCTTTACAATCTCATTCAAACCTTATAATCTTTTGCCTAAATGATTCAAATGTCCAAATTGTTCTCTCTCCTTCCTCCATCAAAGCCATCCTGAATACAGCCATCAGAATGGTACTCGTGTGCCAATCTATCTTTTACCCACCCCACAGTTCCTTCCCGTTGCATGTGGAAATGTCCAAATGCCTGCAAATAGCATGCCACTCTCTGTGGGAGCCCTCTGTAGCTTCTCTCCTACCCCTCCTTGCCCATTTCTTTATATTCTGATGATAAACTGCTTATACTGCTTCCTATACACTTTATTCTGACAGAATCTTCTGCTTAAAATATCTCCCTCATTCTCTTACTCCTCTACCCATCCTCAAGGTGCAACACAAATGTTTCCTCTGCTAAGAAGCCTTCCAAGATTACCCCAGGTTGGACTAAGTATGGTCCTCTCCATTTCCACATCCCCTCATTATGTTGGCTGTGCTCACTGCTCTTACAACACTCCTGTGGACTTAGCACCTGTGCTTCAGAAGTAGGGAGTCTGCCTTGTTCTTGGGTCCCACCTGATGCACAGAATTTGTCACAACAAATGCCTTCAGCTATTATTTGTCGAACTACAGTAAAAACTATGATGTATTCACTGAATCTTGTTTTCCTCTGTCTCCTGGGCACACAGACGGTTCCAGTTCCCAGTCGCTTTTATTGTTCAGTGTGGTTGTGTGACCAAGCTCTGACCAATGGAATGCAGCAGGCCTTTCTAATTGACATTTGTCATTTTGATGCTCCCTGTCTCATAAAAGCTTCTACCTGATCTTCTATATCCTCTCCCCCTCTCTGCTTGCTGGATACAGAGGATCCAACAGGACTGCAAGACCCTTCAGGGTGGGGAATGTTTAGTGCATGCCACACAGAAGGCCCACGAAATCACTGGGTCTGGCTCTGCCAAGGCAACCACAGGCAGGACTCAAAAGTGAATAAATATTCAGCATGCTGCTTTGGAAGCTGAGAATTTTGTAGGCCTGTGAAAGATGTTCTAAATCTTGGTAGAAAAAGTTTCCCCACCTCTGCTGGAGAGGGGTGGAGCCACAAAACCAAAGGAGTCCGGGTTTCTGAATGAGCACGTAGATGACCACTGCCTGCCCGGAAGGTCCACATGGTTGGAATTTTGTGTGAGGAAAGCAAGGTTGACAGAATAAATGAATCTCTGCATCTACGCCTAAAAAGATTTAAGTCTACTTCTAACTCCCTGTCTCTGGGTAAGCTTACTCTTAATTCATTCTTCATGAGTAAAATGGATCCTAAAACTTCAGAAGGAATTCTGTAGACCAGAGTAACCACCTTATTTTGGTCATCATTTTCCTTTGTTAATTTTAAGTTATGCTTTAATTGAAATTACCTGATGTTCATAACAATTCTTTATTCGTCTTCCTTTATCTTAATTCACAAGACTCAGAGTTGACTTGTTCCTTGGCTTTCCACTCTGTGTGCTAATTATTTTCTACTTTATATGTTTCTCATGGTACTTCTCCCTTTTTATTCTAATGCTAAATATGAAATAGCACAAATTCAAAAAATGGACTCAGGTTGGATGTTGGACTAAGGATCGTTTGCAATGCCCACATCCCATATTGGGGTGCCAGTTGGAGTCCCAGATACTCTGCTTCTGTCCCAGCTTCCTGCTAATGCACCTGGGAGGCAATGGATGATGGCCCAAGTACTTGTGGTCCTACCACTGACATGAGAGACCTGGGTGGAATTTCTGACTCCTGGCTTCAGCTTGGTCCAACCCTGGCTATTTGGGTAGTGTTTGGCCTCATTTAACAGCCAGGGCATTTGGAAAGTGAACCAGCAGATGTAAGACCTTGATATCTCTCTCTCTCTCTCTCTCTCTCTCTCTCTCTCTCTCCCTCTCTCCCTCTCTCCCTCCCTCCCTCCCTCCCTCCCCCTGACCCCTGTCACTATGTCTTTCAAATAAATAAATAAACCTTTTTTAAAAAACATATTCCTTTAAAAAAATTGTGATGGGCTGGGCATTTGATGCAACAGTTAAGTCATCACTTAGGATGCCCACATCCCATATTTGGAGTACCCCAGTTCATGTCCCACTGCACTTCCAATTCCAGCTCATTGCTAATGTGCATCCTGGAATGGAGAGGTAATGACCCAAGTAGTTGGGTGCCTGCCACCCACATGGGAGACTTGGACTGAGCTCCAGGCTCCTGGCTTCAGCTTTGCCTAGCCCCAGCAGTTGAGAGCATTTGGAGAATGAACCAGCAGATTGAAGACTGTCTTTGCACCTCTCTCTCTCTCTCTCTCTCTCTCTCTCTCTTGTGTGTGTGTATAT